TAGCTTCAGTGGGCCAGGAGCAGGAGGCAGAGCTGGGCCCCAAGGTTGAGGGGCTTTCACCCAGCCCCTACAGCCTGGCACTTTGAACTTGGACTTGAAGCCTCCAGATTGTAAGAATAAACTCCTGTTCGTTAAGGCCATCCTATTTGTGGTATATATTCTTGTCAGAGCGGCACTAGGTAACCAGAACACTGATCAATATCAAAGACTACAGCCTTCAATATGGATTACACTTCAACATCAAAAAACAAAAGTCCTCACAACTGGACTAAAAAGCAACATCATGATAAATAGAGAAAAGACTGAAGTTGACAAGGATTTGATCTTACCTGGATCCACAATCAATGCCCATGGAAGTAGCAGTCAAGAAATCAAACAACTTATTGCCATTAGCAAATCTGCTACAAAATCTTCTGTAAAGTGTTAAGAAGGAAAGATGTCTCTGTGGACTAATGTGCACCTGACCCAAGTCATACTATTTTCAATCACCTCACGTGTACACGAAAGCTGGTCAATGAATAAGGAAGACCGAAGGAGAGTTGATGCCTTTGAATAACAGTGTTGGCAAAGACGACAACAACAATAACAACAAGTCTATCTTGGACGAAGTGCAGCCATACTGCTCCTTAGAAGCAAGGATTGTGAGACTTAGTCTCAAGTATTTTGAACATGTTATCAGGAGGGACCACTCACTGGAGACAGACATCATACTTGGAAGGGTGTCAGCGGGGAAGAGGAAGATCCTTAATGAGATGAAGTGACTCAGTGGCTGCAGTATGGGCTCAAACACAGCACCAACTCTGAAGACCACGCAGGACTGGCCAGTGCTTTGCTTTGTTGTACATGGGGTCACGATGAGTTGGGTTGACTCAACGGCACCTAACAAAAACAACGTAGCAATCTAAGGAGTCCGCGTGGTGCAGTGGTGAAGTGTTTGGCTGCTAACCAAAAGGTCAGAGGTTTGGATCCACTGGCCACTCCATGGGAGAAAGATGGCAATCTGCTTCTGTAAAGATGTACAGCCTTAAAAACCCTATGAGGCAGTTCTGTCTTGTCCTATAGGGTTACTATGAGTTGGAATTGACTCCTCGGCACACAACAACACAGCCGTTTACTTGGGGAAATTTCTTAATGAAAGACACCCTCCCTCAGACATCTCTTTGGCAAGGCTTAATGCTTCAAGAACCTCATGATTGTTCAAGCATTAGGGAAGAAAGGAGTGATAATGTTTAAAGACGTAAGACTGGCTTTGAATCCTGCTACACCAATTTGGAGGAGCTCTGGTGGCATAGTGGCTAAGGCACTTAACTGCTAACCAGAAGGCTGGAGGTTCAAACCCACCAGCCACTCCTTGGAAGGAAAATGGGGCAATCTACTTCCATAGTGATACTGCCTCAGAAAATCAAGGAGGGGTTGCTATGAGTTGGGTCCGACTCGACAGCACATAAAAACAACAACAGCACTAATTTGGAGGAGAGAAAGGGGGTCAATGGGCTTCCTGGGGTTGTCACAACCAAGTACCACAAATCGGGTGCTTTATGGCAACAGAAATTTATCGTCTCGCAGTTCTTGAGGCCGGAAGTCCAGAGTCAGGGTGCCGGCAGGGCCAGGCTGTAGGGGAGGAGGGTCCCTTGTCTCGTCCCTCTCCTGGTAGCCCGTACGTTCTTTGACTTCTGCAGCATCTGTCCAGTGTGTGTCTCTGTCCTCATGTGGCACCTTCCCTCTGTGCCCATGTCCCTGTCTGTGCCCCTTCTCCCCAGCTTATGAGGCCCCTAGCCCTATAGGATTAGGGCCCACCCTCCTCCAGTATGATCTCGTGTTAACTAATTACTAATCTGCGAAGACTGTTTCCAGATAAGGTCACTTGCACAGATATTGGGGGTTAGGAACTTAACATGGGGGAGCATGATTCAATCTGTAACGGGTGAAGATTTCATTAAATAGCTAAGAGAAGTGTTACTTTCATAAAAAATTGGGTACACAGCCAAATTCACGTTTCTCTTCAATATAACTATATATTATGTGCCCCCCCCCAAATCCAAATTCATGGCCATCAAGTAGATTCCTACTCATAGTGACCCCCACTAAATTTCCAAGGCTGTAAATCTTTACAGAAGCAAACTGCCTCATTGCTCTCCCACGGAGCAGCTGGTAGGTTCGAACCACTGACCTTTCGGTTAGCAGCCAAATATCTTAAGCACAGCACCACCAGAGGTCCTTAAACATAGATACAGATGTCAGAAAATAACTGTGAACCCACTTTCAGAGCAGCCAAAACAGGTTGCAAACAGTTTGAAGTTTTTATTTTCAGAAGGACACTGAAAAGCTAACTGCCCTCAAATGTTAACGACATGTGAATGATAGTGACTAGGAGCAGCTGACCAAACTGGACAACATGAGATGTGAATGGTAGAAAGGAAGTTTGCATTTCAAAAGACTTGTGCAAACTACAATATTTCAGTGAGTGGATCAGGGAAGGAGGCCAGGGTAAATCAAACCATTGCAGTCTTGTCTCCTCTAGAGCCGGGGCCGGACGAGGAAAGTCCGTCCAGGATACAGTCAGAGTGGCTTTAAGGTCCTGCACTTCCATCTCAGTGACACGCCTACAAAAGTGCTGAGCACTTTGCTTTCAAGGTTAAAAGGCTAACAACAAGAATAGGTCCTTTCCTGAGCTCTTGGGACCAGATCAGCTTTAGAATTCAGGACTTCCCAGAGCCGAGAAAGGCAGCGTGCGGCCTACCCTGCGTGTTAGGCCAGGTTCTGGGCGGATGTGTCTGTAGCAAGGAGTACGCAAGCATTTAGAGTCGCAGGAATAAATAAACAAACTCGTTGTTGAGTTGATGCCGACTCACGGTGACTCCGTGTGTGTCACATCACAGGGTTTTCAATGGCTGAGATCTTATGGCAATAGACAGCCAGGCCTTTCTTCACAGTGCCAATGAGTGGATTAGAACTACCAACCTTGACTACATGAAGACGGTAAGAACTTTCCCACTCGTCTTCAGTGTGCGTACTGTGGCGGCTTGTGTGTTGCTGTGATGCTGGAAACGATGTCCCCATATTTAAAGGACCAACAGCATCACCCTTGGTGGACAGGTTTCACTGCAGCCTCCAGACAGAGACAGGCTGCGAAGAAGGACCAGGCAGTCTAGTCCTGAAACCAACTGGCCAGTGAAAACCTTAGGAATTGCTACCGATTGACACAGAGGCTGCAACAGCGGGCTCAAACACAGTGTCAGGTGTGAGCCTGGCATAGGACCGCGCAGTGTTTCGCTCTGTCGTACACGGACGGGGTCACTAAGAGTTGGAGCCGACTCAATGGCACCTAACAGTAACATAAATAGCCTCAGGTCAGTCCCAGTCAGATTTTGCCACTAGCTGAGTTTGTGTCAAACTTAGGAAGACGCTTCTGCTGCTCAGAGCCTCTGGGGTTTGGGATTGTGGGTGAAGGACTGGGGACCTGTCTGGATCTTGGTCTGAGCTTGGCTGAAACCCCCTGCCTGGAAGCACCCCTCAGAGGAGCAGAGGAGGGGCCAGCGGACCATCTATTTTGGACTGAACGTGTGCCTTGCACACACCTGGCTCTTGGCCTGTGTCATCCATTAAGGGGCTGCACAGGCTGGGACCTTGCAGTCAGGGCAAAGGTCAGCCCAGCCTGGCGGGGAAGCGGAGAGAGGCTGGAGGTCGCTAATGTGTTTACCCAGGGGCCGGAGCACAGGGGAGCCCATCTGCTGATCTCTCCAGCTGCCACTCTGCCGGCAGCCCTGAAAGCAGAGGGGGGCCCTAAGGGGTGCGGAGCGCTTTGCTCTCAAGGTTGAAACAGTAACAGCAACAAGAACAGACCCTTTCCTGAGCTCTTGGGACCAGATGAGCTTTAGAATCCGGGACTTTCCAGAGCCAAGAAAGCTGGCGTGTGGTTTATCCTGCGTGTTAGGCCAGGTTAGACAGGCAGTGTGTGGCCTACCCTGCGTGTTAGGCCAGGTTAGACAGGTGGCGTGTGGCCTATCGTGTGCTAGACCAGGCTAGAGGCCTATTTCCAAGGGGAATGGGCTCAGCGGGGTCAGCCAGAGGCTCCAGGGTCCTGCCAGCCAGGAAGGACACGGCTAAGTCCTCCCTTCCAGCTCCCCTGGCGCCTGGGTGAGAGGCCATTTCCTCTCCTCAGCAGCAGCATGGAACATTCTGGGCCCCGAATATGCCCTGGCTCCAGAGCAAGGAAGTAAGCACCAGACCAGGTGGTCTGAGACCCACAGGTTCCTGTCACCCCAGGGCTGGGGGCATCAAATCTGCTTTAAGGCTAACCCCTGAGCAGGTGCCAGCATTGCTCAGTGTAGCACACTTGGTTCTTCCAGGCCTTGACTCGTACAGACACCTTCCTTTTCACTCGGTATTGCCACTGGAAGCCAAAGAGGTGATTGATTTAAGGCATGGGAGGTGGGCACTCATCCATGCACCCATCCATCCATCCATCCATCCATGCATGCATCCATCCACCCATCCTTCTATCCATCCATGCATCCATCCACGTATCCATCCGTCCACCCATCCATGCATCCATGCACTCATTCATCCATCCATACATATATACATGCATCCATTTTTAGAGTCATCCATCCATCAACTAATTTAGCATCCATAATGTGCCAGGTGAATGTCCCTTGCAAAGGAATGACCATGGTAGCAGATGTTACTAGCTTGTGCCTGGCAAAGCCCTTTCTTCTTCCTGTGAAGTAGGAATTGCTGGTGAAGCTGATATAAGGGCTAGAGAAGTTGCCCTCCCTTATACTTGGAGAGCCAGCCCCAAGAGGAGGAGCTGTTGCTCCCACCTCTGAATGCAAAGCAGGGTGTTTTCTTGGGTACAACCATGAAGGTTCCAGCACCTGTGGCCCTGAGCATCCCAAGCTCCCTGGCCGGGCCCCCTCCTCTACAATTCTGTCCCTTTGGGGAGTCCTGGAGGCTTCAACACAGGTCCCCCCATCATGCCCTCTGGCCGTGACCCCAAGGTGCAGGGCAGGTGGGCATCATGGATGACCTCCCAGACTGTGACTCGGAAAGTCTTGCTGACAAAGCAGTACAGACCAAAGTTGACTGCTGTGTTGAGCATGGCTGCCATGTTGGCCACGTCCAAGGCCAGGTGAACTCTCCAGTCCCGGTGGACGGGGGCCACATACAGATGGTAGAGCATGACAAAGATCCGAGGTGCCCACAGGAGAGCAAAGAGTGTGGTGACACCCAAGAGGATGGCAGTGCTCTTGCCCACATGGAGCCGAAGCCCACTCTGCCCCCTCTGTCGGAGCCGGCAGACGATGGCTGAGTTGGTGACCAGGAAGACACCACAAGGGATGAAATAGACAGTGAGGCAGTGAGCCCACTTGAGGACCTTGTCCAGTGTGCCAGGAGGGTCTGCGTCCCTCCACACGTCCAACCACCAGTAGAAAGGGATGCCAGTCACCAGGGCAGCCCCCAGGACAGCAGCAATGGCTCGGCGGGTCCGGCCCAGGGATGAGGCCGCCCGGTGGTGCAGGGGGCGGCACAGGGCACTGTAGCGGTCGAGTGTGAGGAGGACGGAGATCCAGACCGAGGCATGGATGGCAGCAAACTCCAGGATGTTAGCTGTGCGCACCACAGCCTGGGGCACCTCGCGGGCCAGCACAGCACCCTGCAGAAGGAAGCCGACGAACACGATGACCACCTGGGTGACGATGTCCGAGGCCGTGAGCGCCAGGAGGTAATAGTAGGAGGCCTTCCTGGTCCTGGCAGCGAGGCGGGCCAGGGCCACCGTGGTCAGGAGGTTGACTGATGGCAGGCACCCGAGGGCATAGAGGAGAGAGGGCAGAGGTGTTAGTGAGGTAAGCAGCCTTGGTTTCCAAGGTGCTATCATTATCCCAAGAGTGTTGGTGGTGCACTGGTTAAAGCATTTGGCTGCTAACCAAAAGGTCAGCAGTGTGAACCCATCAGCTTCTCTGTGGGAGAAAGATGAGGCAGTTGGCTTCTGCAAAGATGGACAGCCTTGGAAACCCTGTGGGGCAGTTCCTGTCTGTCCTTTAGGGGTGCTGTGAGTCGGAATCGACTCCATGGCAGTGGGTGTGGTTTGGACTTTGCTGCTATAAAGATTGACAGCCTTGGAGACCCTGTGGGGCAGTTCCACTCTGCCCTCTAAGGGCACTGTGGGTCAGAATGGACTCCACAGCAGTGGGGTTGATATATCATCATTCCTCCCAACTACTTGGCTTCTCTCTTCCTCTGTCTAGACCTTTCTTTCTTTTTAAAATTTTATTATGATTTGGGTGAAAGTTTACAGAGCAAATTCATCTTCTATACAGCAGTTCACATATACTTTGTCTCATGACATTGACTGCAATCTCCCACAATGCAACAGCTCTCCTCCCACTTCCTTCCCATTGCCACCTCTTCCCTGTGTCCTTCCCTCCCATGCACTCTGGCCCCCCGAGCTGTCTCCCTGTGTATACACAGCCTTTCTATTCTCCCATGATTGTTCTCTCCAAGGAGTGTATCTACCTAATGTAAATGTTCAGCTCACATGCCTATCTTTTGTTGGGCTGGCAGCCACAGGAGTGGGTTCAGTTCCAGACCTGAAGGGCAGCTAGGGGCCATAGTCTCAGGGGTTCCACCAGGCTCTGTCAGACCAGCAAACCTGGTCCCCCCCCCTCCTTTTTTTTTTTTATGATTTTGAGTTTTGTTCCACATTGTTCTCCCTCTCTATCCAGGATCTCCTACATAGAGACCCCTCTGAGTGGTTGACAGTGGTAGCCGGGCACCATCTAGTTCTTCTGGTCTCATAGTCATATAGACTGTGGATCATATGGTGTACCAGTTGCTTGGACTAATTGTGTCTTTTGGTTTTCTTCGTTCTTCTTTCCTCTGGACCAGGAAAGACCCATCGTTGCATCTAGATGGCTGCTTGCAGGCTTATAAGATCCCAGTCGCTACTCACCAAAGCAGGATGTGAAACATTGTTTTTGTGTAGTATGTTACGCCAATTGAGCTTGATGTCCCCTGCGACCATGGTCCTGAGCCTACAGGTCCAACTACTGGCTCCCTCTGGGTAGCTGTGTGTGCCCAAGAAGTAACTACAACCTTGTCCCTTGTCAGCTCTACTATACACCAGGGAATTCTTACAGAACATATAAATACACTTGTAGAAACACTGTCTGCCAACCCAATACATAGTCATGGGCACACTCCTCCCTGCATAGATATACTTAATAGTTCAGCCTGTCCACTCAATTATCCACCTGTAGATCAATGTTTGCCATCACTGACAACGCAGTATTGTATGTGCAAAAGGGTTCATCTTTGTTGTCTGTACCTCCCATGCACCTCTCTATGTCTTCCTCTTCCTCAATGCCGCTGTGTTGATCACTCACATTTGGTACATTGCCCTTCTCTTCACCCAGATCAATACTTGTCTCTACCTATCTAGCAGTGTTCCCTCCCCTCCTGTGGTAGTTAATTTTGTGTGTCAATTTGGCTAGGCCTGGTTGAGTGGTGGGGCAGCTGGATGTAGTTACTCCCCATGGTCAGACTGGTAATTAACTCCATGGTGGAATGTATTGGAGCAGCTGAGTAGCTGCTTTAGGGATATGGTCTGCTTCTCGTATATAAGAAACAGCTTTGGACTGGTCTCTAGCTTATGGCACGTGTGAACCCTGCATGTAGCCGTGTTGTTGTTCAGCAGCCTGCCATGCTCTGCCGATCATGGGACTTTTCATGGACTTGAATTAATGACGTGCCGTGTGGTTTGGTAACATTGGGACTGTGCCTTTTTATTTGTCAACCTTGGGCTTCTCAGCCTCAGCAGCCAGCAGCTGAGTAAAGAAAAGCCTCCAGCTTCGGTGGGCTGGGAGTAGGAGGTGGAGCTGAAGCCCAAGGTTGAGGGGCTTTCACCCAACCTCTAGAGCCTGACACTTTGAACTTGGACTTAAAGCCTCCAAATTTTAAGAATAAACTCCTGTTTGATAAGGCCATCCCATTTGTAGTATATTCTTGTCAGAGCAGTGCTAGTAACCAAAACACCTCCCCTCCCACCCCTGGTAACCAACAAAGAAAATTTCCTTCCATATATAAGCCTTTCCTTGACTTTTTACAATAACAGACTAATACAATATTTGTCTTCTGTGATTGTGATTTCACTCAGCATAATGTCCTCCAAGTTCATCCACGTTATGCAGTGTTTTGCAGATTCTACATTATTCTTTAGGGCTGCATAGTATTCCACTGTGTATATGTATCATAGTTTGGTTATCCATTCTCCTGTTGATGGGCACCTATGTTATTCCCATCTTTTTGCTATTGTGAATAGTTCTGCGATGAACACAGGTGTGCATATATCGGTTCTTATCCTGGCTCTCACTTCTTTAGGATATATACCTAGTAATGGGATTGCTTTTCCATGGGTTTCTAGACCTTTCTTAAAGCCCATTTTGTCATGAAGACTAACCAGACCACCCCTGCCCATCCACACACTGCAGGTCACTGACTTCACTCTGGGGTGAGGCTTCTGTGCTTACACACAGGTAAACTCACTCACAGGATGTCCTCAGAAGCCACCTGTCCCTGTGACAGCTACCTGTTCCCTTCCAGGCCCTGTGTGGTGGTGAAGCACTCAGCTGCTAGCCAAAAGGTCAGCGGTTCAAACCCAGCATCCACTCCACGAGAGAAAGATGTGGCAGTCTGCTTCTGTAAAGATTTACAGCCTTGGAAACCCTTTGGGGCAGTCTGACTCTGTCCTCTAGGGGTGCTGTGAGTCGGAATTGACTCTGGCACACAACAGCAAACACTATGTCCTCCCAAGGGAGTCCCTGTGTAGTACAAACGATTCACACAATCGACTGCTAATCAGAGGGCTGGAAGTTAGAACGCCTCGGAAGAGAGGCCTGGCTGTCTATCTCCAAAACCTTATAGAGCACAATGGCACTTTCACACACATGGGGTCGCCATGAGGCAGAAACAACTTGGTGGCAACTGATTCCATGTCTTCCAAAGAGGCTCCCTGAGGACAGGGATGGGTGTTCTTACTGGACTTGGGGAAACCCTAAGGTTGAGACCATCTCTCTTTTCCCATATTCATGCCCTCACCCCTACCCCAATTTTTACTCTCCTGGGACCTTGCAGATCGAACAGAGCTGAGAACCGTCTGATGATTGTAGTCACCTAGGAGGGTGGCCACTGCCAGGGTGAGGGGCTCTGCTCTGGTGAAAGCTTGGATTTATCTGTTGAGAACCCCAAATCCTAGCCCCTCACTTTTATGCCCTTCTGGGCTTTGCTCTCCAGAACGCTCCCCTAAGGGGAGCCCTAGGACCCATGATCCTGGGTCTCGGGCCAGCTCGAAAGTTGGCCCCCTCGAGAGAGGGCCCTGATTTTTCCCCAAGCCCGAGACCCCAGCTCCCAGCTCCCGACTCACCAGGCAGCCCCAAGCCCAGCAGGATGCTGTAGTAGATGACAGGGATGATGCCAGCCACACACGGGGACCTGTCTGAGATCTCCGGCCAGGGCCCTTCAAACTCCAGGCTGGGCCCACTGCCATTGGGTGTGGGCAGCTGGGTCATTCGTGGCTGGCCAGCTGGGAAGGGCAGAGGGCAGTGTTAGGGCACGTGGTCTCTTTCCAGCAGCTCCACCCTGATGCTGGGATCTATTCTTCTGTGCCCCCTGCTCTATGCAGACCCTTGATCAGATCAGCCAGGTGGCAACCGCTATAGCCCTGAAAATTCATGCCACATCCATCCCCATCTCACCCCACTTCCCCTGTCCTGGCTCCCCCGCTAATGGGAAGGGGTTCTTGGCAGCGTCTCTTGCTGTTGTAGGGACCACTTCTTGCTTGGCTTTCCTCCTGTGGGTCTCCATCCTTGACAGGCTGCACAGCAGAGTCACAGGGGCATTTGTCAAATGCAGATTCCTGGGCCTCACTCCGGGCAGTGTGGCCAGAGGCTCAGCAGTGTGGCCAGGCCATCTGCATTTATAACATGCACCCTGGGCGACTCTGACCCACAGATTCGCAGCAGCTGCCAGACTTCAATCAACAGCCATCCCCCCCTCCAAGGAGAGACCCTTTCTGGGTTCCTCTCTCCTATCGGCTCATGGGATGCATGAGTGGAGCGGGCACGGCTGTCAGATGAACAGAGTCCCGGGTGGTGCAAACGGTTGACAGCCTGGCTGCTGACCGAATGAATGGCTGGGGGGTCAAGTCCACCCAGAGGCACCTGGGAAGAAAGATAGTGCAATCTACTTCCGAAAAGTCGGCCTCTGAAAGCCCTGTGGGGCACGGTTCTCCTCTGGCACACAGGGGCTCACTGTGAGCAGCACCTCGTGGCTGGTTCAGACGAGCAAACTGGGCCCAGAGGGGAGGGGGACCTGCCCTCCATCCCACGGCGGGATGAGAAGCATCTTAGATCTTGTTGGGATCCACCTTCCAGCTTCAGAGTTCCTGCTGCAGCCCCCCGCCCACTACATCCACTTCCTCCCCCATCCCACCACCATTGTGGGGGCCACCACCGGCCCCTACAGAGCTTACCTGCCTCTTGTCCCGCAAGTCCCATGCTCCTGGGTCCTAGGTCACCTGTGGCTTTTTCTGGGGGCCCCGGCAACTTCCTCCCAGCATGGGCAGGTGCCCCCACCCCTGCTCAGCTCACCAAGTGGCTGTCTGCGGCTAAGCCAGTCAGAGAGCAGGGGGCGGGGTTGGGGGGGAGGAGGGAGGGGGAGGAAGGAAAAGGTGGAGCCGAGGCAGGGGAATGAATCTGTGGGAGACGTCTCCAGGGGCCAGCCAGGATCCCCCAGGGCCCCCAGGCAGGAGAGGGGCCCATTTGCGGGTGGGGCTTCAGGGAGAGAGAGGCTGGGGGTACAGTATAGGTCTATCTGCTTTGGGCAGGGGCTGGTGAAGTGAAGCGGCACGGTCAGGGCCCTGGGTGGGCTACCTCACGAGTAGGATCTGGGTGGGATCCGGGCGGGCTCAGCTGGGTGGCCACCCCTGGGGTTGAGGACACCTGGGGGACCGGGCTGTGATCTGGAGAGAGGTCACTGGACCAGGCTTGCAGGGGCTGGTCCTATCGAGGCTGCAGGATGGGCTGGCCCACCGAGGGGCTGCTGGCCTGGTAGGGTGGCCTGGCAGGGAGCAGTGGGCAGTGGTGAGGGGTGGCTGCTGGGAGAAGCCCTGTGTGAGGTGCGCAGCCCGGCAAGCTGTTGTTTTGCTGGCCCTGGTGAAATGGACCATCCTCCAGGACTCTATTAGCCACTGGCAAATAAACACCAGCCGGTGCCGGGGGCTCTCTGGAGAGGCTGGTATCTGCCCTCCTCTCCCCTCCCTGGGAAGAGGGAGCAGAGCAACCACAGTGGCCCCAGCTCAGGACCAACTGCGGAGCGGAGCTAGGACCTGGAATGGTTCCCATGGGGCACCCTCAGAGTGAACAGAGAGGCCTTCCCGCTTCCAAGTTAGAGCCACACCAAGCTGGAACATCTCCGTCTCTGGATCCCTAGCCACACTGTCATGCAGCCAGCGAGGTACTCACAGCTGTGGCCTTGCTGCCCCCTGGTGGCCATGTCCTGCTACTGCTGGCCTCCAGGATCCCTTGGCTTTGTACTGTCCGTCTGGATGGGGCAGAGGGTTAAGAAGCCTACACTCCCCGCTCAGGACAGGTCCCCAGACACAGTGTCCAGGCCCCCAGGCCCCAAAAGCACAAGCATCCTAGATAACTCCCCATGCTGTCTCCTCCTGGCACCTTGAGGGTTTTTCTCCCATCACCGATAAGTCAATTCCATTTCATGGCAACCCCTGTGTTACACAGTGGAAATGCTCCATAGGGTTTGTTGGTTGTGATATTTATGAAACCAGATGGCCAGGCCTTTTTTCCACGGTACTGCTGGGTGGGTTCAAACCACCGATCTTTAGGTCAGCAGTCGCGTGCAAACCCTTTGCGCTACCCAGTGACCTAAAATGATGCTAGGGCAAGTCTAAGGGACAGCTTGCTCTGAGAAGCTACCTGAAGCAGTGGTGCAAAGGCCAGCTGAGCGCGGGGCAAGGAAGCGCTGACCTTCAGCAAGTGTCCACCCTGTCCCTACACTTTCAAGGCTGACTCTGGTTACCTCCCTTTTGTGCAACAGGTCACTGGGGCTCAAAGAAGATAAGCAACCGGGCTAAGGTCACAGAGTGAGGATGTGGTCACTAGAATTTGAACTTAGGTTTCTCTTCTGCACCTCTTCCCCAGAGCTGCTCACCTTGAGCTCCTGGAGGCTTCTCGTGAAGAACAAGAGCTTGGGAAGGGAGAGGCACGGACTCAGGAAGAGTGAGACATGGACCAAAGGGCAGCACTGGGATGGGGAAGAGCATCCCCAATTGGAACAGCAGGGTCGGGAGAGTGAGGCCGGACTATGGCCGTGCCTGCGTGATGGGACCCACTCCGCTTCAGGGCAGGTTCTGGCACTATGTGAGCTACTTCAGGGACAATGCCTTCCAGCTTACCTTTAGGGTGTCCCTGGGTTACATGGGCCTGCCACCTGAACTCATGACACCTCGCTCCCCAATCTAAGTGTCTGAGTCACACAGTGGACCTCGAGTCTGGCAGGGACACATCACGGGTGTCAGAGAGGCCCTGCCCCCCCCCCCCTTGTCATCTCCATCCAGGTCTGACCCCTCACCCGCCCTAAGCTTTATGAGTTTCCGGTTGTTCTGCATTATGATTCCTCGCCCCATGGGGTCTTCCAGGGCTACTGGACAGCTTCTCAGAAGAGCCCTCAGAGGCTGCAGAAAGAAAAGCCAAGCAGGAAAGTGGCACTTGAAGGTTCTACCTGGCTGAGACCTCACTCAAGTCACTCGGTCGTAAACACTCCCGTCTCGGACAGAACAGCTCCTCTCTGGGAATGATTCTTGCTGGTGAACCTGTCAGACTTGCTCTCAAGGAACGTGTGGAGCCCATCCAGAGTCAGAGGGCAAAATGCAGGTCACATCACAGGTTCTCCACTCAAGAGATTACACAGGGCAAACGTCCTCTTTCCTTCCTCCTGCCCCAGGACAAGCACACACACATGCACATAGGTGTGCATGCATGTGTGTATGCACACATACATGTGAACACAGAGCATACATGTGTATGCATGCACACACAGGCATGTACATGTGCTTGCATGTGCACATGCATACAAGCACATGGTGCATGAAAATAGACGTGCATGCATACATGTGCACACGCATACACACAGACCTACACATGTGTATATGTGCACATGTACATAGATGCATGTGCATATACATAAACATAGGCACACATACATGCACATGGTGCATGAAAACAGACATGCATGCATATATGTGCACACACAAATACACAGAATATACATGTGTATGTGTGCACATGCATAAACATAGGCACACATGCAGGCACATGCACACACATACATTCCAGCAAACATTGAGCCAAGAAAATAGAACGGAGCACACCTCTAAGTCACTGAAGGAGGCTCAGGGTTAAGGGGGGACAGCAATATCAGGAGCTGGGGGCTCGCAGAGATGGGAAGTCAGAGGGGACCCTTCTGGGTCTTCTGGTTTTCTGGGACCTTCCAGCTCCCTTCCTGCTTGAAATGCCATCCTCTAGGTTGTAGATCTTACCTTGGGGTGTGCATGACAATCATCATGGTGCTGAAAACCACAGAGGGCCAGGCCGTGTCCCCGGGCAGTTCTGGCTCCTAGGTGGAGTGTGGGTGATTTCAATGCAGGGAGGCTGTACTTCAGGAAAGACCGATGTCCACCCTCTGGGAGGCTGGGATTAACAAGTGGTCTACCAAAGGCTGTCCTCTGGTCACCAACCACACTCCTACTGGGAAGCACCCAAGTGAAAGCCGGGCTGCCCTCGGAGACCTGGGGCCTGGTGTGCAGGGGCTCTGACTGGCCGGGCCTGGCCGGGAAGGTGGTGCAGCCCACGGGAAAGGCAGGCGGGCAGCCAGTGAGCCAGCAAGGGCTGCTGGGCCTGGCCAGGGGAGCCAGGCATGAAAGTCAGAGGACGGGCTTCCGCTGGGTCAACAACGCTCTCTGCCAACCCGGACGAGGCAGATGCCAGACCCCATTCCTGCCCTCTCTGTGGCTCCAGAGAGGGGGTGGAGCTGGCGGCCTCATTGTGCCAGCCCGGGGCAAAAATCAGTGCATCGAACTGGTCCCAGGAATCCAGAGAACAAGGGCGGGGACACTCCAGCCCATCCCCAGTCAAGGGTCTGGTGCAGGGAAAAACTCAGCTGGTGCTCTCGGGATATCACTTCAACTCATCATCCTCAAAGGGGTCCCTCCCGTGAGGAGCAGGGCAGGCCCCGCAGTCTCTGAGGGGCGACCTCCACAGCACCCACCCTCCTGTTCCCTTCTCTTCCCATCAGCCTGTGGTCTGACCCTCCTCCCTCAGTCACCTTTGTTCTAGAGAAGACAAGTCAGTCTGTGTCATCACCACTGGGTACTGGCACTGTAAGCTCCTGCAGAGCCGGACCCCAACTCAAGTGACTCCACCCACCACGGAACAAAATGCTACCCAGCCCAGCGCCAGCCCCGTGATCTGTCTAGGGATGTGACCACTACGATCCACAGTATTTTCATGGGCTGATTTTCAGAAGATCACCAGCCCTTGCTTCCTACTCTGTCTTAACCTCGTAGCTCCACTGAAACCTGCTCGGCCTCCGAGCAACACGCAAGCCTCCACTGACCGACAGAATGCCCATGAGGTGCACTCCTGGGACCAGAACCAGGGTCTCCCGCATGGAAGGCGAGAAGTCTACCTCTGCGTCACCGCGGAGCACCCAGAAGCACACTCCCTTCCCGAGACTGGGACCTTGCTCTCTGCTGCGGTTCCCCTACAGCGTCTGTCTCCTTGGAACTCCGGGAGGGAACCATTACAGTTGGAAGCTGGACAGAAGCTGGTAAAAGCAGTCTTCCAAAGAACGTGGAAACCTGAGACCATTTGGGGAAGATGAATTAGGGGGAGGAAGTGAGGGGGCAGAGGCAGGCCCAGGCTGAAGGGGGCGGGGCTGTCTGGGAGGGCCAGCCTCCCGGGAGGCAGCCAGCCCTGCTCTGGGCATTGGTCCTCCCCATGCCACCGAGCATAGGTCAGCCTCACCATCCTTAGCTCACCCTTGGCTCACCTTGACCCTGGGTGGAGGAGGGATGGCCATAGTTCCCATAGGACCTCCCTAAAAGCCCATCACCCCCTCCCCAGGACATGCCAAGAACACTTTTCAACAAAGAATGTGGAAATGATAGCCACTACCTGCCAGGTCCCAACACGAGGCCCTTGCCCTCTTCTGAGAGCCACCAGTGTTCCCAGTGTCGTCCAGCAGACCCTGACTCGCAGCCATCTCACACAAGTCAGAGTAGAACCAGGCTTTGCAGGGCTTTCTATGGCTGGTTTTCAGAAGCAGTTCACTAGGCCTTTCTTGGAAGGCGCTCGGGTGGACTTGAACCTCTCATCTTTGGTCGCAGGCCAGCGCATTAACTGACCATCCAGGCACTCACTGCAGAGAGCTAGCCCATCCTAAAATGGGGCTGGGGGCCTGAGCAGCCTTTTCCTGCTCCCCTTCCAGGCGGACCACGGCACTCCAGCCAAGATGCTGCCAAGCCTGCTCCGTGCTGGGCCAGAGACTGAGGCTGAGCCCGGGGAGGGTGTGGGGGGGAGAGCGTTGGGGGGTTAGGGACCCTGGGGGTGCTGGGAGTTCTGGAGCCCCCTGCCTGCACTCCAGAGGGCCTCCAGTTTTGCAGGAGAGGGCCAACTGGCCCCGTGAGGGGTGAGGAGACTGGGGGAGGGGGCCGGATCTGTCCCCCTCCGGGGCCCACAGCCAGCACAATAGCCCCTGAAGCTGCCACTCTCGGGCTTAAGTGGTTGCCTGGGCAACAGCTGGGGCCAGTTTCCACCAATCCAGGCTGAGGTCGGTGGGGGAGGGAGGCCATCCAGGAAGGGGGTGCTGTCTGCCTTGTGCTGGGTCCTATATAAGGAGGAGGGAGGTGGCGGGAGTGATCTGGGCTCTGTGTCCCTGCAGTAAACTTGGGGGCGTGGACACAAAGATGCCCCGGGAAGGATGTGCCATGCCTGGGTCCTGGGGCAGCTTCTGGGCCATCCTGACCTTGGTGGGCCTGGCCACTCGCACAGGTGAGTGAGCGTGGGTGGGGGCGGGGTGGGGGCAGGGAGGAGGAGCAGGGAGAGTCTCAATAGCTCCAGGGTGCTTCTTCTCCAGAAAGCAGGGCAGCCTGCCTGGGAGGAGGAGGGGCTGGGACCTAAAGACACTTCCATTGTTCGGGGCCCAAGCGGAGGCTAGGGGAGCCCATCAGCATTCAAGTCCTCAGAGTGACAGCTTGGGGAGGCGGGGCTAGAGATTAACCCCTGCTTCTTTCTTGGCCTTTCTTCGTCCCCTCCCCCCTTACACCCAGACGCTCTGCTCTTGTTTGAGCCCTGTCTGCCAGAGTCCAAGGCATTGCGCTTGTGTGAGTGTGTGCATGTGTGTATGTGCATGGGTGAGTTGTATGTATGCGTGTGTGCGTGCACGGGTGAGTTGAGTATGAGCGTATGTGAGTATTCGTGAGTGTGTGCATGAGTGAGTGGGTGAGTGCATGTGTATATGCAGGCGCACACGTGAGTGTGTGAGCATGTGAGTGTGTGCACGAGTGTGCATGGGTTTGGGTGTGGGAGTTGGGGTGCCCTTGGTTGTTGTCAGACACACTTGGGGAAGGTGCTAGGTCTTCTCAGAGCCTGAGGCTTCCTGTAGCTGAGCCCACATCTCCATCTGACCTGGAAGAGGAAGCCAGGCTCCATACCTGGTTGCCGGCAGTGGCCCACGTGGCACCAGGTGGCCCCCTGCACTTTCTTGGAGTGCACCTGCTGGACGTGGGTCCCTGTCTGAGATCAGGCCCCTAGAGAGCAGGCTGGGCTTCCTTTCCAGGCCCACAGCCTCCTCCCACTGCAGCCTCCCTGCTTCCCTCAGCTCCCAGCTCCTCCTCTTCAAGGGCTTTCGCACATTGCTTCCTCTGTGGATGCGCTTCCGCTGGCCAGCTCCTTCTGGTCATTTTCTCAATGAGCCCTTACCTGATTCCCACGTCTAGAGCAGTCCCACCCTGTTCCGATCACTCTCTTACGTGTCACAGTCTAAAACCAGAGTGTGTGTCCTGGGTCTAAGACGCCAATATGAGCTTTGTTGAATGCTAGACTTGTTATCCCAAGCTCCCAGGAGAGTGTCTGGCACACAGTACGCTTGGTAAATATTCCTTCCTATACGCACCACTTATCCCAACAACTCCCAACAATTCCTCAAGAAGTGGGACAGGCAGGGACCAAGAGTTCCCTTAACCCTTGCTTGAGGGTCTGGCATCATGAAGATAGCTCTGGGCACGCCGTGCCATGCCTGGCTCCTGACCTCTCCCTGCCCAGAACCAACGCCCCTTCCAAGAGCAGCACGACATTCCCCACCCAGGAAGCGCCTGTATGCACACACGTGTGTCCACGCACCTGATGGTACAAACAAGTGTGCATGCACAGCCTCCTAGGCCTGCTGCCCCTCTGCTCACACTCATGCGCACACGTCTCCAGTTGGTCCCTCTGCGCCTCCACCTGGCCCCAGGCCCAGGGGCCCTTTCAGGCTGTGTGTTCCTTCCTGCGGCAGCCCAGCGAGCCGATGGTGGTGGGGAGGCAGCGGGTCCTTCCATCAACCACTCCCCGATGCTGCTCCAGCGCCTGCAGGAGCTGCTGCGGCAGGGCAACGCCAGCGACGTGGTCCTGAGGGTGCAGGCCACGGGCACGGAAGAGGTCCGCATCTTCCACACCCACCGCCTGCTGCTGGGCCTGCACAGCGAGCTCTTCCGGGAGCTGCTACAGAACCAGAGTGAGGTGGTGCTGCCGGAGTCCAGGGACTGCGCCGCTGTCTTTGACAAGTTCATCAGGTGAGGCAGGGCAGGTGTGGGGGCCCTTCACCCCTTCCCAAGCCCCTGGCTCCTCCACCCACAGGGTCACCGAAGCCCGGCCCCTCAGAGGTCGAGTGGTGCCAGGGCAGCCGCACTTTCATCCGTTCTCTGCTGTACTCTGAGATGCCATCCAACCCCTCGCCTTGGCTCGGTGCTCTGTGTTTGTTTGATATTGTTGTTCCAAGTCCCTCACAGCTGTTTCCAAACCTGGCCAGGGAGCTTTTAAAAACTGCAGAGTTTTGGACTTCACCCAAGAGGGTGGGCTTCACGTCGGGGGTTGGACCCAGCAATCATTTCTTAAACCCTCCCTGTGGTCTCGGTGTCTGGCCAGATTTGGAATCGCTGAGCTAGGGAGCTGGAAAAGTCAGCCAGCTCTCCCCCACTTCCTCTGCTTCCTGCCACTTTGCCGCAGGGGGCACCATTCATACTGCAGTCTTCGAGAATAACCCTGCTTTCATGAGACTTGGGTTTCTCGGCCAATGACAGAGACTCCTGTAATGACAATGGCTTCAACAAAACAGCTACTGAATGCCAGCCGTCACTTCCAAGTTCCAGGCAACAGGAAGGGGGATAAAACAGAAGGGCAAAAAAGGGTCTCTGCCTCACCCCTCATTGGGCATTTAAGCAGTCTTCCCCTAATCCCATACAGTACCTTCTCGTAAGACTACATCTTACATCTCATTGACTAGACGGTAGAGACATGGCCACCCCCACTTTAAGGGAGGCCAGAAACATGGTCTTTTATCCCTGGAGGCAAACAAAGCCTGCTGAAAGGCCAGAGGAAGGGGAGAAATGGGCGGGCACAGGAGTGTCTCTAGCAGGTGCTGCCACACCCCTATAGAGTGTGTGCCAGAGACAGTAGCAGACTGAGCTGGAGACGGCAAGAGTTCTATTAGTGAGAAGGGGGGACAGACACAGAGAGATGGGTTCTCGAAAAGAAAATGGGGAGGGAGACTTGTGTTGACCACCTACTCTGGGCGAGTATTCTGTTTCTTCCTACCTCCTGATAAACCATAGGGCTGCATGTTGTCCCTGTTCTAGATGAGAAGACTGAGGTTCGAGGAGGTTAAACGGCTTGCCCAGTTTCATAGCAAGTAGGTGGGAGGGGTCAGGCTGGTATAGGGTAGCGCTGCACCCCTTCCCAAACCCCTGGCTCCTCAACCCACAGAGCCACAGAAGCCAAGGCCCCTCAGAGGTTCCAACCCAGGTCCTGCTGTCCCCAGACTGCAAATTCCACAATGGGGGGAGCCACTTCTGCCTTGTTCTGGGCGAATGCTTGGCATCTAGGTGTTGTTGATAGTTGCCATTGATAGTTGCCATGGAGACTCCACGTGACAGCAGAACTGCCCTGTGGCCTTTCTAGATAATAATCTTTACAGAAGCAGGTCACCAGGCCTTTCTGCCAAAGAGCAGCAGGGTGCTTTCAAACCTCCAACCTTCTGTCCAGCTCGCTGTACCACCAGAGCACCTAGCAGATGCTCAATAAATTCATGCTAGTTCATTGTCACCAGGAGAAACAGAAGGAACAGCGGTGGGAGGGCCCTTGAGAAGCCGAGACAGGACGCCTCAGGACCACTGGGCCATGTGGGTCCCCTACAGACTAGAGAAAGCAGCTGGTAGGTGGCCACCGCTTCATCTCTCGCCTCTTCTCTCCGCAGGTACCTGTACTGTGGCGAGTTGACGCTGCTGCTAGCTCAGGCCATCCCCTTGCACAAGCTGGCCACCAAATACGGCGTGGCCTCCCTGCAGCGGGGCGTGGCCGAATATATGCGCGCGCACCTGGCTGGGGGCGCCGGCCCGGCGGTGGGCTGGTACCACTACGCCGTGAGCACTGGCGACGAGGCGCTGCGCGCCAGCTGCCTGCAGTTCCTGGCCTGGAACCTGTCGGCCGTGGCGGGTAGCGCCGAGTGGGGCGTGGTGAGCCCCGAGCTGCTGGCGCAGCTGCTGCAGCGCTCGGACCTGGTGCTGCAGGACGAACTGGAGCTGTTCCACGCGCTGGAGGCCTGGCTGGGCCGCGCGCGGCCGCCTTCCGCCGTGGCCGAGCGCGCGCTGCGCGCCATCCGCTACCCCATGATCCCGCCGGCGCAGCTGTTCCAGCTGCAGGCGCGCTCGGCCGCGCTGG